AAAATCAACAAGAATCCAACAAAAACCAAACACTTATATTTCATTGTCGTCGTTGTTGTTCCATTTGATCCAATTAGAGTCATTGAAATCATTAGTTTTATCAACAAAAAAAAATTAATCTATCTTAAATCTTATCATTTTATAAGATATGAATGAAACATTATTCAAATTTTGGAACAATGTTTGTTTGTTTATGTTTATGTTTCCGTACCAAAATATCCCCCCCCAAAAAAAACATACATCCACAATGGACATAATATATGTAATTTTTGCTTATTATCCAAAACAATTATTTCATCATTCTTATCATTGTGTGTGAAAGTTGTTTAAAAAATTTAATAGATAAAAAAAGTTAATTCAAGTTTTTTCATGTTTAAATTCTTTTCTTTCTTGTTGTTCATCATCATAATGATGATCATCATATTGTCTTCGTAATAATGTTTAGGCAACAAATATTATGATCATATTTGAGAATTATCTTTTTTTTTCTCTTTAGTGAATTTGCGGACACAATAATATAAAATGTCACCATCAAAATTTGTGTGGTTAGATTCAAATGATAAATCGGATTTTTTGTTTATTTTTCCTCTTTAGATGATACTTTCATTTTAACTGAATTGTTGTTTTTTTTTCAAGAGCTAAAGGTTCGTAGGAGTAAAATCATCCTCTAAAAAAAATTAGGAATTTAATAGTTATCATGTAAAGATCGGCTATTGATTGAACATCAACTTTCATTATCATTTGAAACAATAGCTGAAAAAAAGGGGAAAAAATTACTTGTAAGGATGAATTAAATAAATTATGTTAATGAAGCGATTTAATACGATTTGATGGCAAATGTTGATTAGTAAATTTTTCGATTTTATTTAGTTTTTTTTCTGTCCAATCATGATGTCCAGAAAATAAAACATTGTTCATGAATGATTATCGTTGATATGATTGTAGAATAAATTAAATCGATGACAAGCATAAATGTTTTTTATCGCTTCTTTTAAATATTCTTATTATATGAATATAACACTTACTGTTTAAGATGTTTTTTTGTTGAAAAAATTTTGCGAAAATTGTTGTAAAAATAGACATTTCAAATTGCATGATTAACGACAATGGATTTTAACAAAAAAAATAAATAAATATTGGCCTCAAAATCAATGACATTCAAGAAAATCATCAGGTCAATAAAACAAATTTCAATGTCATATGTCAATCAATCAATCAATCAATCAATTAGTATTCTTATAATATGATCAAATCAATATATGAATATCAAAATTATAAAAAATTATACAATCAGATAATTTGTTCGATTTTGAATTTCATTTTATTCAAATGAATTGATAATTTACTTCCTTATGAGAATTTATTTATTATTCAATCATTATTCGGATGTATGTGATAAAAATTCATAATGATTTCTATCACCCAAATCATATTGATTATGTTGATAAATAATGTAAAAAAATTAATTGAATTTAATATGAAATTTTTTCTTCTTTTCTTTCTGAATTGATCGTCACTGGGAAAAAATATATATTTTATTCATTGATTTGATGTTTTTTTTTTAAATTAATGAATCTTATATCAAACAGGTGATATAACTGTAATGTGTAATATGATATTATTGAATAAAATATAATAAAAAAAATTATATGAAAAATTATCAAATAAACACAAATCATATTATCAACAATGATGATAACTATGAAATTATTGTTAATTATAAAAATGATTATGATTGTGTGTGTGTATTTTCTCACCTTAATAATGTTAATGTCCGTAATGTCTTAGCAAAAAATGATTTTTAAAATTTTTGTTTTTGCTTTTTGATGTCTGGGTCCCATCATCATCATCATCATATTCAGTTTTTTATATTCAATTAAATTGAATTTTATTTGAGTTTGATTAACAGGTTTGGGAGAGAGAAAAAAAACTTGGATAAGATTATCATTATCATTCGTGAAGTGAAAAAAACTTGAACTTTGAATCCAATAAAATATCGATTGACTTAACTTGCGAAAACCAATATACAACACACACACAAAAACACACATTCGGACACACGATTATTATTGATTAATTTGATGATTAGTAATTATTGATGGGAAATTATTATTATTATTTTGTTTGCAAAAAAACGGAACTATGAGATAGTTAATATAATATGGTTTGTAGATTTTTTTTTGGCATTTGTTCCGATATCTGTGATCATTATTAATGTAATCAATATATAATCATCATAATTCAATAATTGAATTTGAACTTGTAAATTATTATGGGTGTCATGATTTAGGAATCAGCATGTTTTTTTTTGTTGAAAATCTCCCCCACATGTCTATCCAATGACCCATTCTTAGTGATAATCATTAAAAATAGGCGTTTTTTAAACAAACAAAAATGAATAAAAAAACTTAATAATAAACTCACGTTTTATCTGTCAATTCTTTAATGAAATGAATAGATAGAAAAAAATAAAGATAGGAAAAACATTGAATTCATCAATTGATCAATCGATTTTTTTACATTTTTTTCCCCGTAAAGAATGATTAAACTTTTTCAAATAAACTATTTTTTTTAAGTTTTATTTCACAAGTTCATATCATTATCAAATTATCATCATTTTTTCATCATCAACTAAACTTCATCTCTCTCTCTCCCTTCTAGATCCGTAGTTGTCATTTTTTGTTGTCAATCATTACATCTTCATCAACATTAGAATTAACATTTATTGAAAAAATATTTGATTTTTGTCCAGTGCTTGATTGGTGATTAATTCATCGATATGAAATGAACATCTACGATTTTTTTTGATGTATGTTTGAAATGGTCAAAAGATAAATTCTAATGTCAATTTCAAAGGATTTCTTTCCATCATGATGATGATGATGATGATGAACGAAAATGGATCGAATATAATGAGGATAAAATGGAATATAGCAGTTAATTAACTTTTTTTTATTTACTTTAGCAGACCAATCAAATGAAATGAATCGATTACTTTTTTGTTTAGTTTACTTCATTTTCAATGTGAAATCATTCATCTTATGATGATGATGATGATGATGATTATCGTCATTCGTTATGGATCGATTGGTATTGAAATCACACACACACACACATAAAAATCAAAGATCATCAATTATCTACTATCCTAGTATTAATTCAATCAAGAGATATTATTCATTCATTTTCAATATGTGATCATTCAAAATGATCATATCAAAATAAAATAAAGCAATGTGAAAAAAAAATTTGGTCAAACAAAAAAGAAAAGATTTTCTTCTTCCGGTCAAACACCGGTGATTAGTGTTTGAACAATAAAAATTTATTCAGAATTCAAAAATGAAATCTTTCATCAGTTAACAGTTAATCCAAACTATGATACATTTATCAATTAATAAAAACAAGATTGAAAAAATAATTCAATGTCAAAAAAAATATCATTATTGTTGAAAACTAAAATTTCTTCTTCTTTCTTTATAAATGCATGATGATTGTGAGAAAATAAAAAAAAATGAAAATTTCATTTTTCACCTTATTCATTCATAATTTGTGAATAACATTTTGATTACAATAATAATAATAATAGTAATTATTTCGTTATTTTTCTGATTTGACAAAAAAGAAAACTTATGGATGATGATGTTTTATTTCAATCTGTTTCATAGCAACATTCTTTACCATGCGAAAATTGGTCTAATTCGGATATGAACGAATGAAACAAATAAAAGAGAAGAATGTAATTAAACTTGAACATCATGATTTTCAACAAAAAAAAAATATGTTTGATTCGACCATAACGATGTCATCATCATCAAATGCCATTGCCATTAAATAATTTATAATGATAATTTTTTGTTTTGAAGTTGAAAATCCAAATTTCACATGTATGTGATTGTTGTCCATTTTTTCATTTAGTTGATTGAAAGTTTTTTTCATTTGATTCCATATTTTTTATGCTTCACATCTATTATAACGAATTCAAAAGTATATGAAAAAAAATAGATTAAATTTTTTCAATGTTAATTTTTTCAAATTTTTATTTTTTGTAAGAGAAGATTCTATATAATTGCATAATATTTTCCAATTATATGATTTTGATTGACAATCAATAATTGTTTGTTGAATTGATCCAAATTTATTGATGAAAAAAAACATCTTCTTTCATTCTTTTTTTTTATTATTTTGATCAGTCAGTTAAAGTAGTCAAAGACAATTGATTTTTTTTTTGAAAATTTCAAAACAATTAAATTTAAATCAATAAAAAATGAAATATAATTTGCTTGATCTGGATTCCCATCAAAATTGACATTTAATTGTTGTTGAAATTATCCATTATTAATAATTCATTCATATAGGAAAACATTCAGTAAAATTTTTATGATTTTGACCAAAAAAACATTTAGAGTTTGAAATCGATACGGATACATTGCTTGACTATTTTAACAATTCATTGAATGATGATATGAATTTAAAATTTGGGAGTTACTCATGTTCTCTCTCTCTTGCTTATTTAGCCATTTTATTACTCTTAAAACATTATTTGACATTTGTGATACATCACACATCAGTTACAGTGTTGAAAAGAAAATTTCTTGGAAAAAAAAAGAGTAAGTGAGAGAAAACACCGGTACAAATCCCTTGTCTATACAATGCCAATCTTGGAGAAGAAATATTTAACACGCGCAAAAATTTTTTTTCGCTTTTGGAACACACGTTTTTTTCTTACCTTCAACTGTTTTAGCTTTAGTCAAAGATCAAGATCTTCATTGATGATGAGCCACGAGTGGGAATGAATTAATACTTATGGCCACACAGACACACATTAAACTATTATGATAGGCTTAAATTCTTTTTTGTTGAAAAAATGAGATTTCCCTCACAAAGAACAAACACCACCACCACCCGCCAACCATAGTTTTTCGTTTAGTTTCATTTAGTTTAGCTCGGTTATAAAAACCTCGCGTTTGTTGGATTAAAATTTCAATTTGATTTTCCATCATATTTGAAGATCATCAAATGTGTTTCGTGTAATTCTGTTTTATTTTCCTGTGCACTTTTGCATTCAAGTGTTTCCAGTGTGTGTGTTTGTGTGATATTCATAATTGTATCAATCAATAATATTTTTTGCATCATAATTTGTCACTTAAATCATTTTATAAAAATGAAAAATATTAATTTGATTGTCGTTTTATTGTTGGCAACCATTTACTCTACATTTGCTGCAAGATATATTCGATCAGTGAAAGGTGGTCGAGGTTTTGGTGGCAGCTCTGGTGGTGGTTATCAATCTTCTGCACCAATTTCACCATCTCGTTCACGATATAGCGGTGGCGGTGGTGGTGGTAGTTTACCATCATTTGACACTGGTAGCTATGGAGGTGCAAGTGTAGCTCCAACTGGTGGTTCATATGGTGGAGAATCTAATAGTGGATACGGTGGTGGACAATATGCTGAAGAGGTAATTGTTTATTCAATTTTTAATAGATTTGTTTATTTATTGGAATTTATCATCCCTTCATATATGGATAATACCATTAAAGAATGGATTGAAATTCAAACAACCAATAAGAAAATTTACAATTTTTTTCTTATTGATAATATTATTTTGATAATGTTTAAATTGAATTTATTTTTTTCACAAACATTTACTAAATCTTAATAATTCAATCGATGTTAACATATGTCATTTTTTATAAATTAAAAATAGCATCCTGCCCCAGAACCATATAATTTTCAATATGCTGCCGATGATGAATATGGTAACAATCAATATCGTAATGAAGAACAAGATCAAAGTGGTACCATTCGTGGATCATATGGTTATACAGATGCCAATGGATTATATCGAGTTGTCGATTATATTGCTGATAATGATGGTTTTAGAGGTAAATTTTTTCTATCAAACTTGATGTTTAAAAGTTCTTTACTTTTGGTTTGTATTTGTAGCATCGATTCGATCAAACGAACCCGGTGGTTTAACGGAACTAAACCCAAAAACTGGATCTGTAGAAAATCCAGCCGATGTTCAATTGTCACCAGAACCAGTACCAGCTTCGGTTAGGCAACAACAAGAACAATATACTTCGGCAGCTGCAGGTTCTGGAAGATATCGCGGTGGTAATGCTAAAGGTAATGCTGGATATAGTGGAAACGCTGCTGGTTCAGGATATGGTGGCGGTTCTAATACCGGAAGTGGATTCAGTTTTGGTGGTGGCGCTAGCTCTCATGGTGGTGGTGCATCCGGATATGGTGCTGGATTTGGTGGTTCTAGTGGTGGCAGCAGTAGTGGTGGTTTTAGAGGGGGTTCGGCCGGACCAATTACCCAACAAAAATTATCCGGAAAATACTGAACTTAAATCCAAAAAAAAATGGCAAGTATATATGATTATAGAAAAGTATAACAGGTTTATAATAACTTTGAATACAAAAAAAATTGATAAGATTTATTGTTTGTTTAATAATTTTATTATTATTATTATTTTTTCATTTATTATGACCAGCAACCGATTGATTTTCTCATCATTCATTTTCGGTTTTTTTTTGCCATTATCAATCAATCAATCAGATTTTAATTTTTTTTTCTTTATAAAAAATTTTTTGAATTAATTTGTTCACTTATACTATTTTGTTTTGTTTTATTTTGTTTTGTTTTTTTCCAAACACGTTTACCTTTCATTTTTTCATTATGATGTCGATTTTCCTTTTATTTTTTTTCTATTAATTTTTAACTTTATTTTTTTGTATGTGTTTTATGTATTATTATTATTATTATTGTTGTTTTTTTTCTTCAAAATTGTCATTCATCATTCATATGAAGTAAAGCGAGAAAACAGTGAAAAAAAATTCAATCAAATGAATTCAATTATGATTTATTAGCTTGCTAAATTTGTAAACATTCAGGTAAATTGATTAGACAATAGATAAACATTCAAATAAATTGATTCATTATCATCATCATCATTGTTGTTGTTTTTATTGTTCGCTGTAAAATTTATTATTTTTTTTGAACAAAATATATTAAAATGATCATGGATATTGTAAAAATATGATGATGATGAGGATGGTGTGATGTGAAAATGGACAAATAAACTAAAAAAAAAATTATGACTTGACACTTTTGTATTATTATATTTACATATACATTGCTTTCATTAAAATATATGAAATATCAGAAATTATTTATAATTTCATATAAATAATTTTAACTATAAAAATGTTTTTAATATCGATTTCGAAATAATCATAATAATAATTAATGATCATAGAGATAATTGTTATGATCGATATGAATCGATGATGATGATGATCGGATACAAGATTCTATTTTGGCGAATGAAAAAAAAAACAACAACAACATTTTTTTCCTGTTTCATTGTTTATTTTAACTTACCAATGACATTGTAAATGAATTAGAAATCACTTAACAAACAAACAAAAAAATATTTTAATGTTTTATTCGATTATAAATGAAGAATATATATGATTAATGTTGCACATGGATGGGTCATTTTTGATCGATCATAATGTTTGAAACAAATTGTTTTGGTTTTGCTTTGTTTTTTTTTCATTGGCCTCTTATTTGGATATTACAAAAAAAAAAAATTGTTTTTACTTTTATTTCCTTGAAAAAGTAAACAAAAATTTTCATATTCATCAAAAATATTGTTTAGATACTTATTAATGAATATTAAAATCTTATTATTAGATTTTAATAATAATATTCATAATCATTATTATCATTAATCTTGCAATAAATATAGAAATTCATATTTTTTTTTGTTGTTGTTTAATTTCAAATTTGCAATATTTTCATTGAACTGGTCATAGATAAAAACAAAAAGTTTGTTTTTGGTTGCTTTCATCATAGATATTGTATAACAATAACGACAAACAACAACAAAAAAAATCAAGCCGGTTTAAGCCGCATTCATTATAATATTGCTCGTTTCGAATTCTCATCCAATATAAATTTAGCATTGTTTTTTTTTGGACGAAATAATTTCGTAACAATTGTTTTATGTTTCTCATTTTTTTTCTCTCACAATCTATCACGAATTTTTATCATGATCAAAAAAAAATCGAATCCCAAAAAAAAAAATCATTTTTTTCTTTACTTTCTTTAGCTCATTTTAAACCACCATAATGTTTGTTTTGTGTGTAACACAAAAAAAAATTCTGTATTACCACATTGTTGTTTGAACTATAGTGAAAAAAAATATATAAAACAAAGATTATTCATCCAACAAAAAAATCTTTCAATTCAAAATGATGAAATTATAATTATTTCATTATATAAATACCAACGATATTATGATCAAAAATTCTATCATTCAATCATAATAACAATACATCAATCAATTCAAAAAAATGTCTTTATTACGAAAAATTATTGTGGAAAAATTACCAATATTACCAAATGAATATCGACGATATCGTTTATTATCACAAGCTGGTCAAGATTTACAATATGTTTTGGATCAAATGGATAATCAATTATCCAAACAAATTAAATATTATCCTAAAGAAGATATATTATATGATAAATATCAACATGCAATATATGAATTATTTAATGCTGAAATAAATATCTATTGTAAAATAAATAAATTAATTCATATATATCAACGACCAATGTTAACGTATCGTATAATTTCACCTGAAGAATCGATAATCATTTTTTCCGATTTGCAACGTTTAGCTGAAATTCATTCAAATTTTATTAAAAATCTTGCCATGCTTCAGAAAAACGGTTTATTTGAATGTCCAGCAAATGCTATGTTTGAATTTACTAAATCATTATATTATTATCAAATTTATTGTTCAAATTTAATTCAATCTAGAAAAATTTTGCATAAAAAAATGCAACAAAAACAATTTGTTAATTTTTTACAATCCGAAAGAATACGAAAATACGGTGAAAAACTGGATTTAGCATCACATCTAGATCAACCACGACGACATCTAATGAAATATCCATTAATATTGGCTGAAATTTGTCGCCGAACTGTTGATCAACAAGAAATTGATAAATTGAATAAACTTAATCATCATATAACAACATTCATCAGTCAAATCGATGCACAAATCGATGAAAATAAATTTCATGATTTGATCAACAAGTTTTCAATTCGTAACAAAAATTCTATCAATATCAAGAACAAGATAATTTCCACTTGTACACGATTAATATTATTATCATCTGTTCATTGTTGGCCAAAAAAATGGCCAAAAAATTGTCTCATTCTTTTTGATCGATTACTTATATTGGTTCGTTGTTCACCTTTGGGTAATAAATTTCTTATTCGTTCTGAAATCGAAATTGGCAATGATCTGCATTATCATCATAAAATGAAAAATTCTAATCATAAAAATTTTAATAATTCAACAAAACGTCATTCAAAATGGCTACGATTATATTCAACAAATGAATCAATCAATTTTGATATAACAATCAAATTCAAACAACAAGATGATCGTATCGTTTGGTTACGATATTTAGCAACTTTATTCAATTTAATAGCTAGATGATTTAATTTTTTTTAATAAATTCAATTAGAAAAAAATCTGAAATTTCGAAAAATAAAAAAAAATTAAAGACGACATTCATTTATAACACTTTTCAGGATAGGTGTGTTAGGTCGACCCCAAAGCCAATACTGTTTACTACTTGAAACATCTGGTTTTTCGGTCGATAATGGTTCGGATAATTTTCGTTGAAATCTTTCTCGTTTTGGATTCATTTGTATTTGACGTTGACGTTGAATTTCCGGTGGTTGATATGATGATGATGATGATAAAGGAAACGAACAATTTTCATTCACCGATTCTAAATTATTAGCTGATTGATCATTAATAAGAGCATTGTTATCAAAAGCAAAATCATATTTAGATATAGATTTAACGCTATCATCATTATTGTTATTATTGTTGATGAAATTTTTTCGCTTTTTTCATAAAAAAAATTGGAAAACAATGAATAAAATAAATTGCACCATTTAATCAACAATACTCACCATTAAAATACAAATAGCTATTAAAGCTATCAATAATATTTCAATCTGCAACAACAATAACCATATCCAAACGGTTAACCATTGTCCACTAACAGCAGCGATATTGACACGTGTACGATTCATTGATTTTACCTGAAAAATATCTGTTGTTTGTTGCTGTAATTTAGAATTTTCGGTAATATTTTCTTCAAATGAAAAAGTTGTTGTTGTTGTTGTTGGCGAATTATCGATATTTGTTTTTCCGGTTGAAATGATTGAATCAACGGTAGTTGAGATTATATGGTGTTCTACATCCGATTTTTCGGCAATATTTTCGTTTTTCGATTCATCGATTGATAATTTCATATTGGTTATTATTTTTTCGACTATTTTCTATAGCCGATTATGATGAAAAAAAGTAATCATTTATAATTTTTTCAGAAAAAATTACAATAAAATTAATTACCTCAATTTGTGCAATTGTTTGATTACTTAGGCAATTATCAATTTGACTGCTTGAATTAATTCTGTTAACAATGGAAGTTTGACTATCAGTAGATTCGAAATCGGTTACAGTTTGTTCCATTGCATTTGTATTAGACACAGTATTTATTGATGATAAATATGATTCGGTTACTGTATGAATTTCGGATTCTTCATTCGGTTGCATTGTCATTATAAGTGTTGATGGTGTTTTTTCATCAACATTCATAATTGATTCTTGATCATTTTGAATATCCATCACATTAATTGTTGTTATTATTGGCCATTGTTCATCAGATAAACAAGGTAAAACTAATCCAATCATAATAATAATTATTACCTTCAAATTCATTATTGAATAAGTTTTTTGGTAAAATTATAAAAATCAACAATCTAATCATTATACGGATATAATGAAAACATATTACGAGAACATGATTTTTACGCAAATTTAAACAAAAAACAAAAAACTCCCTATTTTTATGAGTGTTTCATTTCAAGTTTTATTTCCTCTGTTACATATTTTGATAGAATAAAAAGATTATAAAAAAATTCATCAGGATATCAATGTATACACATGGATTCAATCTGTGAATAATTCTTTGCTATACTCATCAAAAGATGGCACTACTTGGTCACTTAAACGCTATTAAAATCATGATGTAAATTGAAAAAAAAAACGATTCTTTGTGTTCGAATATTATCAAAATTAACAAAATAAAAACAAAAATAATTTATTTATTCAACTGGATCATAATGAAAATGTTGTTTTCAAATGATTTGATAAATCTGACATAAATTCTTTCAGAATATAATCATTGGTAAGAATAAAACATTGAAAATCAGATCCACGAAATAGTTTGGTCATATTTTCTTTTGCCGTTTCCATACAGATTTGTTTCAATTCATCTAAACAAACATTTTGTTCATTAGAATCTGTTGTTGTGGATGATGTCATTACACAATATTGGCTATAAAAATGGCATACATTTTCTATACTTATATGGCATCGTATTTGTTGAATAACTTCTGAACAAATAATTGGATCATTCATCAGATTGGCTAGATGATATAATTGTATTAATTCTTTATCAGTCATATGATTCATTGGAAATTTTCCATGATAAATGTGATAGAAGAAAAGTTCGAATGTTTTATGATTGAAAAACCATTGTTCATCAACAGGTAGGTCAATACAATCCATACGTAATAACTTTGATCGAATAGAATCAATTGATTCGTTTGAAGAAATATTCGCCATCTGTAAGGTTTTTTCGAATAATTGTGAACATTTGAAATTGGAAAATGATTGATAAACATTTCCTTTTACGAATAAAACAAGTTTGTGACATTTTATAACGAATTCTTCTTTTTTCGTTATACTTTGATTGTTTATAAAATGAAATTTCAGATCAAACGTTTCTTCACGTTTTCGATAGATTTTTTCTAATAAATCGAGCCTTTCTATTTCTGGAATTGATTGAAATATTTTTACACAGAAATCCATTACTGATGATAATTCTAATCGCAATGCTTGACTAAATAATGAACAAATCTGTTCCATACAATCGGGACATTTTTCAACAATATAATTCAGACAGCAATTCATTAGTAATTTATCATCCATTAATTCGGCTATTCGCAATAGTTCGATCAGATCTTGTTTTGCAATGATTAAAAATTTTTGTGTACTATATTGAAACATTAAATAGGCATACATAGCACGTTCATTAACTAAATCTTTATCCAATAAAAGTAAATAGAATCTTTTACGTTGTCGATTTAATGTTTGAATAAATTTTGTCATCAGAACACCATCAGTCGAATAAACATCGGCACTCAATGATTGTGGTTGGCCATCAAAATCAATTTGTTCGTCTGGTGGTGGTGTTAATGATTGAGCTTCATCAACAATAATCCATGATTTTGGTAAACGTTGAAAAAAATTATTAAATCTTTCCAATATTAATTGTTGAACATAAATTATTCGTTGACAATCAAATTGTTGACATGATGAACCAAATCCAATGGCAATATCGCAATCATTTTGATTATTAAATGTTTCTAATAATTTGTTATTTGTAACATTTATATCGATATTATCATGATGAATTAGAATACGTTCAAAAGGAAAATTAACTTGATGTTCGGATCGTAACAATTTACGGTCATCAGTTATTCTAAATTGATCAAAATTTGCCAAAATCTGATTCATTGTTTGATGAATGGGTGATAGAATTCCCAATGAACATAACGATATTTTATGTATTAAATTATTTTTCCTTTCCGAATTATGATTTGTTATCGTTTCGGTAGGTTTCATTGATCCCCATATAAAAAATTTACCTCCCAATTTTGATTTGGCAATGGAAATATCTGATTTAGCCCATGCTCCAATCTGTGAAACAGGTTCATCAAGTGGAACTAGTATCGGTTTTGTAAAATTAATTGAATCATTCTCTGAAATGATACCACATTGACCTTGTTGATTATTGCCCATGGCCCAAACTTTTCCATCATATGTTAACATTAATGTATGATTTTGACCACAGCAAACTGATTGAATTAATAGATTTGTTTTCAATTTTGTTGGTGACAATACATTTGATTTTAAATCATCTTGACCACATTGACCGGTATGATTCCAACCCCAGACAAATATTTCGCCTTTAAGATTGACAGCAGCTGAATGCCAACCACCACAAGCTATATCAACAAAATCCACACCACCAAATGATGGTGTTAGTGTGAAATCTGTCAATTGAACAGGTTTTAATTGATGAAATGTTGTACCATTCCCCACAGAACCGGTCAAATTTGAACCAAACGAATACAGATGATTGGTTACTGTCAATATTAACGAATGATGTAGACCACACGCCAGATCTACGATTGGATCCTTAATCGCATTGATTAATGATGGTTTACCTATGTGCGAATTTGAACGAGATAAGCCAAGTTGACCAAATCGATTATCCCCCCATGAATAACATCGACCATTTTTTGTTAAAGCCAATACAAAAAGCTGTCCCGAACAAAGTTTGATCAGATTTTGACCAGATAATTCTCGAATTAAGGTTGGTTTTTTTGCTTGTAAAAATGGTGATTGATTAATGCCCAAACAGCCAGATGCATTGTGGCCATATGCAAAACATTTATTATCATATGTTGTCCAAATTATACTCAAAAGATTTGCTTTAGGAGAATCACGATTGTAAATCTTGGTCATCAATTGGATATTGTTTGGATCAAAACGTAATCGTTGAGATACATAATTAAACTTTGCATATTCACTATGTTGTTCATTACTGGACATTGTATCCATAACAATTATTTTGATGAACAATGTTGCCAAGTCGAATATAAGAAATGTCAAATTTGATGAGAAAGAGAGGGAGAGAGAGAGAAAAAAAATGCTCATCACTTTATCAATGACATTGAATTCAAACATTCATCATTAATTGTCATGGTCAATGTCAATCTTGATAAGTAAAAAATATTTTTCACTATTTAAGCCAAACCATTTTGTTATTTATTTCTTATTTTAAATCATAGCATCGAAAGCATTTTTTTTTGTTTGGCATTTATCGTTATTTTGATTTTATTTTGATTTTTTCGTTTTTGTGACTGATTATTTTTTAAATAACTATACCATCTATTCAATCGTATATAATATTGACATGATGGCTACTTCTAATGAACAGTCAATTAATCAATCATCCGGAATAATTATTGATCAAGATCCATTGGTGGATACTGTATTGACATTACCAGCAATCACCGAATCATCAACAATCAAATTAAACAATGGTAATGACGCTTTAGACTCAAACAATTTGGCCATTCAATTGGAACAGGTGAGAAAAAAAATTGTTTTGCCGATCAACTTTTAATACGAATTTTGTTTTCAGGTTCGCCTTAGCTATCGCAAAGGTACAAAACTAACACCAGTTCTCAATGATCTTAACATGTCTGTACCAATTGGTTCAATATTTGGTCTTCTTGGACCATCTGGTTGTGGTAAAACATCATTGATTCGATGTATTCTTAATTGTTTGAAACCTGATTCGGGCTCTATTCGTGTGTTTGGCAAAAAACCTGGTTCAAAAGAATCAAATATTCCCGGAATGGATGTTGGTTACATGCCACAAGATATAACATTGTTTGATGATCTTTCCATTCGTGAAACATTGGAATATTTTTCAACACTTTATCAGATGCCAGCATTAATGACTGCCAAACGAATTGATTTTTTAGTCGAATTTCTTGATTTGCCTGAAAGTTCACGACGTGTTTGTGCGCTTAGTGGTGGACAAAAACGAAGAGTTTCTCTTGCCACAGCTCTTATTCATCGACCACCTTTGTTGATTCTGGATGAACCTACTGTCGGTGTTGATCCATTACTTCGCCAATCAATCTGGCAACATCTTACCGAATTATCTCAAAGTGAAAGACTTACTGTATTGATCACGACTCATTATATCGAAGAAGCCCGTGGTGCCAATCAAGTTGCTTTGATGCGACAAGGACAAATTTTGGTTCAACAACAACCAAATATTCTTCTACAACAATATCATTTAGAAACATTAGAAGACGTGTTTCTCAAATTATGTAATGATCGCCATCTTTCTATGGATGATAGTGAAATCGAAGAAAATAGCGAAACATCTACTGGCCATGAAAATGATCCTAATTGGAATGATTCCTGTTCAAATGGTAATCCAGCTGAATCGAATGACAATTCAAGTGGTATCGGTTCATTAGCCAAAAGCAAACCTTTAGCTAAAAGTAGTGATGAATTGTTTGATGGTTATGAATCAAAACGATCAATGTATAGCTATTGGCGTAAAAACGTTTCGATCAAAAATCAAACATTTTATATGAAACAAACAATGGCCATTATTCGTAAAAACACAATCGCATTACTACGTTCACCGGGCAATCTTTTGTTTCAATTTTTATTGCCAACCATCATTGTTATATTGTTCTGTGCTTGTATTGGTCGTAATATCAACCATATTCCGGTTGCAGTCTATAATGGTGATTGGAGATCAAATGTAACTGTTGATATTTTACGTGAATTGGATCCAATATCAATCAATCAAATACATTGTCGAACAGCGGAAGAAGCATTACAAGCCGTTCGTGATGGTCTAGCTTCATCAGCAATTACAATTCATGAAAATTTTACCGAATCACTTCATGATCGACTTTTGCTCATGGGCAACGTTGATGAAGAAACATTAAATAGTTCGACCATAAAAATTTTTCCTGATATGTCCAGTAAGTAATGATAACAATGCAATTTTATTCATATTTTCAAAAACTATTTTTCCGCAGATCAAATAATTGCATTAACTGTTTATGAGAAAGTAATTGACACATTTCAAATGGTTGCTCGTAAATATCTACATCAAATGGGCTCTAGTCCTGCATTGATTGAATTTCCCATCAATTTTTCAACACCAATTTATGGTTCACATGAATCTACATTCACCGAATTTATGGCTCCCGGTGTTATATTATCAATCGCATTTCTCGCTGCTATTCCATTGACAGCAATGGTACTTGTTGTCGAACGAAAACATGGTCTTATTGAACGAACTACTGTAGCTGGTGTAACCAATTTTCAATTCATATTGTCACATTTGATCACACAATTTTTTGTTTTATTGGTTCAAGTCGTATTGCTTATGATCTGCGTATTTCCCATCTACAAGATACCTTATCATGGTGAATTCTTTTTCATATTCTTACTCACTTTAATGCAAAGCTTCTGTGGAATGTCATTTGGATTATTCGTATCATCCGTTGCTGCCGATGAATTAACTGCAACAATGTTGGCATTAGGATCATTCTATCCAAATCTTTTGCTAAGTGGTACTGTTTGGCCAATCAAAGCAATGGATAATTATATGCGATATTTTAGTTATTTATTACCACAAACAATACCAATCGAATCAATGCGTTATATGATTTCACGTGGCTGGGGACCAGATCGTTTCGAAGTACAACTTGGTTTCATTGTTACTATAACATGGATCATATTATTTACATTGGCCGCATCACTTTTATTTAAATTCCGTAAGATCTAATAATTTATTCATTTCCTATTTTTTTTTGTTCGATTTTCATCGATTAATTTATTAACATTGACAAATCAATTATTTTTTTGGATTTTAAGAAATTCCTTGTGATATTTTATCCAATCATACACACGCACTCAAAGTTAACATTAATTATTTTTCTTTTGATAACAATTTGTATAAATTTTTATTTTAAATCATTATAATAAATTAAGAAATTATTTTGAAAAAAATTTTTAATTTGATTTGAACACAATTTAATTTATTGTGATTGAATTTTAGAATCTTATTATTATTATTACCAATTAATTGATTGATTCATTCATTCATTCTTGTTTAGATTTATCTTTTTTTGGCCTAATACAGAATATTAAGAATAATGTATATAATATAAAAGCACCGGTAATAGCGGTTATTGCATACATAAAAAAATTCAATTCTGGATGACGATAACGATTACGTTTAAGCCATTCAAGTACTTCTTCTTCACGAATAAGATCACCACGATATATGGATGGAAAACGTTTACGAAAAAATACTAATGCCGGTACATCCTGTATACCATATTTACGTGCATATTTTGTATCACGAATTTTGACAAACATTATATCCAATTGATCGGTATCATCATCAATGTGTTCCAATTCATTCAATATACTTTCACAATCATAACATTCGGTTTCATCTATACAAATTAAGTAAAATTCAAATAGAAAACTATAAAATTAATCTATTTATGGATTTAAAAAAATATGATTTTAGAAATAACAGAAGAAAAACTTACAAAAATATACTGCTACAAAATCATTTTCATTGATTATTTTTTCCAACATTCTTCGATTAACTTCTTCAATTTCATCTTTTATTTCAAACACTTCATTCGATGTAAGCCAATCTAATACAGCTTTTTGATCAGTTAGATCACCTTCATAAAATTGATATTGATCTGCTTTACGAAATAAAGCTAATGATGGTAATGTTTGTACATTGTATTCAGCATTAACAACAGGATCATTGATTTTAACAAAATCAAAACCATAAATATCGACATCATCATCAATTTCCTGTGATCAATAGCAAAAAAAAAATAATAATTTTTTGTTCTTAGTTAATAAAATGTTTTATATAAAATCACCTCAAGTGCTTCAATAGCTTCTTCACATTCTGCACATTCCCGACCATAAAATAACACAGCTAAAAATGGCTTATCATGTATCAATTTTTCTAACATTCGTCCATTAACATCTTCAATCTCATCGGCTAGTTCACGATTTTCATCTTCAATAAGCCATTCAAATACTTGTTCTTCATTACGTAGATCACCATCATAGATTAATGGATTACCATTACGAAAATAAACTAATGCTGGATAATTTTTTATTCCATAACGTTTGGCCAATGTTTGATCTTGAATTTTAACAAAATTAATGCCATATATTTCACAATCATCATCAATATTTTCCAATTCTTCAAGTACTATATCACATGCTCGGCAATTCGGTTTATCTAATTTGTTTTTTTTGTGTCAAACAAAACAATAACATTTGATAAGATTAAATTATTATTCAAATACACTTACAGAAATAGACTACCAAATATTGTGTATTGGTAATTAATTGTTCCAATAATTCTCGATTAACAGATTCGATTGTATCTTCGGTTTTTTGCTGTATTAACCATTGTAATACATCTTCTTCTGCCGATATATCACCTTCATATATACTTGGTATACGTTTTTCAAAGTAAATTAATGCTGGAAATTCTTCGATACCATATTCTTTTGCAATGTTGGTCTGCTGTGTTTTAACCACTTGAATCGAATGATAAATGATTATGAAAATGAAAATAAAAACAAAACAAAAATCCATTCACTTACATATGATTGCATGTCGATCAGTTTCCGTATCAATATTTTCCAGATCTTCTAAAATTTTTTGACATTCTTCCGAATCCGATACATCTTTTTTGAAATATGATGATTGATTTGTTTAAGAAAAAAAAAATAAATGATAACAGAGAAAAATCATTGTTGATTTGAGCATTTGTTTTATTAAATTTTTTTTTTCAATAAATATTTAAGAATAGCAAAAAGAAATAAAAATAACGGCCGTATATTCTATTCAAATGAATTATTTTCATAAAATTTTGATTTGTTCATTAGTGTGTGTGTGTGTGTGTGTAAAGATGTATGTGAAAGAATGAACAACAACAACAACGAAAAAAGATTTAAATAATTGTCACTATATTGTATCTGTATGTGGGGGGTGGAGAAGTGTATGAGCAAATTTCAATCATCAAATTAAATTGATGAATAAATAAATAATTTTAATGAAAATGAACCAAAAAATAATTCATGCTTGATGAAACAAAATTCGTTGAAACTTCCTTTTTTTTATTTCACTTTTTTTGGTTTGATTTTCTGTTGCTGCTGTTGTTGATTGGTGACAGTTTTTGCATTCGATTTATCAATCGATGATTTTATTGTTTTACTATCAGCTTTATTGATTTGTTTACTTGTTTCCTGTGTTGATTGTGATTTTTTCATATCAGTTGATTTTGCCTTATTAGTAATCGTATTGGCTGGCATAGATTTTTTATCAATATTCGGCAATGGAGGTAATTTGGATGCCATCGATCCGGTTGATTGTGATTGTTTACTTATCGATTGTTTAGTCTGTTGATGTCGAATACCATCTTTTGATGATGATGATGATGATGACGTTGAATCTTTTACTGAATCATCGGCACCTGTTTTAGTTTTTGTTGACGATGATGATGAAAATTTTCCAAGAAAATCATCTTAAGTTGAGATTGTTTCGTAATTTTTAATTAAGCCAAAATATTTTTTCAAAAAAAGAATAGAAAATAATGTTTGTTTTTTTCAGATTTGTATCAAAACAAATCATCAAACAAACAAAATTTGCATTTACAAAATCCAATTAAATAAAAATTTAGCAACAATATTAATGGATTTTCATATTTATATATTCAAATGTATGTTTGTTTTTTTTTTGGTCGTTGTTGGGGGTGTTGATAAAATCGATCGAACAATAAGGGTAAAATAAAAATTTTCCAGAGATCAAAAGGACAGAATGAAAAAAAAGAGAACAGAGAGAGAGAGAGAGAAACATAACTTTAGATACAGAACAAGAATAATGATAAACGACAAACATGAAAACATGAAAAGCAGAAAACTGGATAAAAAGGAAAAGATTTTTTTTTTTTGTTGATTGTTTGATATTCCTATGGTCAAAATTGCACTGTTTATATCGAAAAAATTTTCCCTGTTTCAAAATGAGATTCTTTCTTTCTTTTAAAAAAATTAAATTTCGCTGTTGTTGTCGTCATTATTAATTTGATTGATTTATCAATATTTCAATTGAATAAGAGAAAAAAAAGACTAATTGATTCTAATTTGAATTTTTTCAACAACAAAAAAAAAATATTGTGCGTTTGTATTAGTGTACGTGTGTTTTTGTGTGTATTTGTATGTTAAATAAGTATATATTTTTTTAAGCAATAAAAAAGGAAAGAACGGCCAGCTTGCCATTCGGCATATTTGATTTTCAAAAATAATTATTTACAACAACAAAAAAAAATTTGATTAATACTTACAGAAATATACAGCTAAATGATCAGCTGTTTCGATTAGTTTACGTAATGTACCGCTATCAACTTCTTCGATTCGATCTAATGATGGATCTTTTTGATTGATAAGCCATTCAAGTATTCGATCAGATTTCTTTAGATCTCCTAAATTGAAAAAACAACAAATTCGAAAATGAAATCAATATCAATTATTCAACATTCATTAATCTATTCGTTCTAAACACTAACCTGCAAATATAACTGGAACATCTTCACCTTTTTTGAAAAATACTAATGCTGGTAATGCGTATACACCGTATTCTTTAGCCAATTGATTATCTTCAATTTTTACAAATTTCACTCCGGCTGCATCGGCTTCATCATCAATCTATCAATTTTAAAATTATTTCTTTGAGTTTATCATCAATTAAGATAAATGTTAATATCATACTTTTTCCAATTCTTCTAAAACTTTATCACAATTTTTACAATCAACTTTTGAATAGAATAAAACGGCCAGATGATTGGTTCGATCCAACATACGTTCAAACATTCTTCGATTAACTTTTTCGATTGCATCAGACATTTCCATATTATCTGGTCGGGTTAACCATTCAAGAACTTCATCTTCATCAAACAAATTGCCTTCATAACGGATATGTTTACCACGGCGGAAAAATACCAAACCGGGTGGATTACGTATACCATATTTTTTGGCAATCAATTGATCATTACATTTAACTAAAGCAACATCATAATCACCACAATCATCATCAATTTTTTCTAAATGTTCAGCAATTTCAGCACTTTCATCATCATCTGGTTTGAAAAAGAAAACAGCCAGATATTCTCGTTCAGCAATTAAACGGAACAATATTTCCCGGTTAACATTTTCAATAGTGTCTTCATTTTTCTGTTTGATTAACCATTCAAGAACTTCTTCTTCTTCAAGTAAATCACCATCATAAATTGAAGGTTGTTGATCTTCAAAGTAGACTAACGATGGTAATTGAGTGATACCTAATTCTCGAGCATATTCACCATCTTCGATTTTGACCTGTATATATAGCAAAAAAAAGAAACATCAAAATAATATGAATGGACCAAGTTTCATTGTTTGAAAATTAAAACTAAAACTAACAAAATGAATTCCATGCTGATCTGTATCATCATCAATGTTTTCAAGTTCATGTAATATTAATTCACAAATATCATCATTATCACCATCATCAGATTTTGATTTATTCTTCAGACGTCGTTTGGCCGTTTCCTCTTCACAATCACGTTCATCGTAGAAAAATACAACAATATGATCAACATCATCAAGCAAAACCTGTAACATATGTCGATCGACTAATTCGATGACATCTTTATGTGAATCTTTGTGCTTGACAAGCCATTTAAGCACTTTATCAGCATCTTTTAATGAACCTTCTTCATAGAACAATGGAATTCGTCGTCTAAACAGGACCAAAGCTGGAAAAGAGACAATGTTGTATTCTTTGGCCAATCGAAGATCCTTGACTCGTACAAAATC